ACGCTTGTGTGCATAAGATCTAAAAGGTAAACAAACTATTATTTCATGTATTTTACTTACCGCAACATTAAAAATTTAGCTTGCATGGCCAAGTGCAAAGCTTTTGGCATACTGTCATTATTTGACTCCAGAGCAGGTGGCAGCGCCTTGGCTCGTTCATATGATTCCTTTGCCTTTAGATCTTCGCCTAATAACCAAAACACAGAAACTTCAAGAACATTGGCCCACCACTCAATTTTCTCATTATTTTGTGCTGCACGAAATGAATCTCGTAGCAGAGTAATAAATGTCATTGCATTACTAGCCATTGTATCATCTCCGTATCGATTGCTCATTTCACATACTTTAATGCTAGCTTTTTTTTGCTCACAAATTTTGCTTTTGTAACCCACTAAACATTGAATAGCTTGATGGAGCAAATGCTTTTGATAACTCTATAATGATTGTGATTAATAGATATACATATCGATAGAGGAATATGTACTTACTTTCAGTAAATTCGATAACGGATCTATAGACATCGGGAATTCTACAAAAACATTTTCATCTGTTTTGCTTAGATGAATATCATGCTCAAATATATACTGTAATCCGAAAGAAGTAAATATCCAATTATGTTTCTTCACATCCTCATCGTACTTAAACCATTCCTTTTTTGCCTTTTTAATCCAGTATCGTATAAAAAACTTTAACAACTTCGAATAGTTTTCTTTTACACGTAATGCCGATGTTAAGTAGATTGTGACCAACTCCTCGTAGGTAAGAGCGCTGTAGGCTGCCAGTGTCATATCTAAGGCATACAATGATATAGTCAGGCCATTTTCCTGAATTCTTTTGCTTGTAAAATGCAACTGGTTAAGTCTATTGAAAAATAGCGCTAAATGTCTGGCGGACATAATCTTATTTTCACCCTGAGTTTTTAAAGTAATATCTGTATCATATTTATGTAATATTTTACCACCGGTAATTAGACGGTAACTGAATAGGCGCATTAATTGCCATGTACTTAAGAG